AGAGAAAAAAAAAAAAAAAAAAAAAAAAAAAAAAAAGTGTTCAAATTTAGTTAGAATTCAGTACATTCTTTTTTTGTCAATTATTTAAGTACATTGGTGTGAAATTCTATTAGTTTACCATTTATGTTACTAAGATAAAGTTTCACTTCAAGATAAATTGATTTATATTTAAGAAGTGAATGGATTTAAAGATAATAATTAGTAGAACTATTAGAACAGGTGACACATATGTCTGGGAATAAGGTCACCCTTAAGTCTGAAGTTTGGGGAATAGGGAATGTATCCAGTTGCCTCCTCTTACAGATGAAGAAACTGAAATCTGGTTATTATATCGACTGTCCAGGTTACCTTTTGCTTACAGAAAAATCTGGACTCCTGTCTCTGTCAGAATACTTTTCTTTTACCTCTGACTAGTTACTCATTTGTACTTTGAAACTGGTTAAGATGAATACAAAGTGTTGTGCAATAAAGCTCATGAATTCAGACCCAGAAAATATCCTGATGATATTTCCGGGGACATGGTTAGTAGAGATTGATGAGTGATTTGGAACCAAGTCAGGGTGGTAATGAGTGAGTGGCCCATTGGTTTCATTGTGCTTATTTTTTTTTCTCTTTGTTTTGGTTTTTTTGAGATAGGGTTTCACTGTGTAATTGAGGCTGACCTGGAACTCACTATGTAGCCCCAGCTGGTCTTAAATTCACAGTGGTCCTCCTGCCTCAGCCTCCCCAGTGCTGGGATTACTGGCGTGTGCCACCACACCTGGCTAACACTGATTGTTTCTTGAGCATGCTTCCCTTAAACAACAGATCTGAAGAAAAGTCCCAATGTTTTTATTTTTGGTTTTACATCAAAATCCACTTTAATGCTTGTATAAGGAAAAAGTACAATTACTAAATAGAAAAAAAATTATTCTTAGTGTTCAAATATTTTTAGGCATATTTAAGCACAGCTTGAATCTTATTAAGAATATCTGGTTTTTCACCTTGTGGTTATTGCTCTGCTTTCATTAGAATTCTCTATGATCACACACCAACTCTACTAAGAGTGAAGTTGATTTCCACATTCTTACATCCTCTTCCAACTTCCACCCATTAGATATTTGTGAATCTCCAGGGTGGATCAGAGAGCTGGGAAAGTGTGTTATGGAGCCCACGTTCTGCCCACTGAGGGCTGCTGGCATGTTACCGGCTCCTTGTTGCTGCCCACCCCTCCTCCCAGAGACACAGTTTACAGGGATGCACGGGAGGACTGGGCTTGGCCAGACTCTTCGTGGGTGGGAATGGTCACATCATGGGACAAATGCATCCATTTGGATCAGAGCTCACTGTGACTTACATAAGCTGACTGTCTTATGAAAAATGAGCCAAACTTTTTAGATGAAAGACTAACCTTTCTCCTCATTTTGGATTGCTTATGTGTTGGCATTTTAGCAACTCTAATGAAAATCAGTATGGGTAGGTCAGAAAGCCCAGCATGCTCAGGCTATGTTCCTGGGATGTACATGTGGATGTGATATTTACCCATCAGAGGCAACTGTGGAAACCTCTGGTACGCTAAAGTGGAGGGCACTGTTTCCTGACAGTGATGATGGGGAACCCAGAATGACCGTCATGCTCTGAGCTCTGGGTGGGAGGTGGCACACATGTGGCACCTCTGTGGGGCTGCTTGCCAGCAGTCCAGAGGCAGCAGATCTACTCAGATCCTCTGCAGGATGGGACTGCTCATCCCAGCATGGAGACTGGCAGCTCAACAGCCCCACATCCTGTTTCCGAATGTCTCCATGGGAGCCCTTCTTAGCCTCACCGGCGGGTGTTATGCATGGGCTTCTGGGGGGTGCTGCTGCCCCTCAACTACTGCCATCCCCAGTAGGAGATGAGGCCCAGTCTCCAAGAGTAGCTGGCTTCTCCCACTGTGGGAAAGAGGGAATCACCACGAGGGAGTGGCCAGAAAGGCAGGGATGGGTGGCTGTTACTTTTAAGATCCAGAGATGTCAAGACACGGGGGGACATCTTCTCTATCACCTTGCTTTCTCACATGAGGGCCGTGTCTAAAGCAGGGGTTCTCAGCCAACCTGGAGCAATTTCTTTTCCTAGGAGACAACTGGCTCTATGTAGAGACATTTTTGACGGCTACAGATAGGGGCAGTCTGCTGACACGCCCAATTATAGACTCCAAGGATTCTGCTGAACACCCCATAATGCATACAATGGCCCCCACAACAAAGAGTTATCTGGCCCTAATGTCCACAGTGCCCGGACCCTATGAGCCAAGGGCGGGTCTACAACCCTGGCCTGATAGTCGTAACAATTTTGTCAACATGTTACTTTAAAAGGTGTTGAGAAGGCTGAGCTTCTGGTGGCAAATGGCACGTAGATGCTGACAAAAGCAGCATTTTCAGTCACCGGGGCAAACTGCTGCGGTTACACAAAAGGGAAGATTAGAAATAGACCATGATTTGTTTCTTTTGCTTTTTTTTTTTTCAAAGCATCCCAGAGCACAAATCTGAAAAATGAGTAGCAGGATAAGGTAAGTAGGAGGAAGAATCTGAGTCAAAAGTGAGAAGCCTGTCATCACCTCCTGCGCCTTTGTCTGCATCACGCCTGTTTGTGGTACCGCAGCCTTTACCGGCAGGATGTCACGACTCTGTGACATCTTTCACTTGACCCATTTTAGGGCCCCTTGGTATTGTATTGGGCTGGGGAACTGTAGTTTCTGCTGGAGGTGAAACAACATTCATTATCTGGAAGCGAGATTTGGATCTGGGGAAGATGACTGTCTGCTCAGAAGGTGTTGCAGATTGTTTTGGGAGGTGGAGTCCTCTGAAGAGTGTTAAACTTCCAGATACCCAGTTATTGCTGTATTGCACCAACAAAGTGAACTTGGAGGGGAAGGAGGTTTTAGGGAAATGATGGCTATTTCTCAAGCATGAAAAGAGCCATGCCTTCAGGAGTCAGGAAGACTGGAGCATGTTTCTCATTAGAAAAGAATCATCCATTTCCCTCTTACATTGTGGATAGCAGTTCATTGCCCATTCATTGAAAGTATAGATATGGGGCCTGTTTTTCCCAAAGAGTTTTATTTCTCTTCACTCCCACTATGAGCATTCCAGCCCACATCAAGTGAAGGTGAACTGGTTTACTTTTTTTTTTTCCTACCTGATCTTCAAGTCTTCATTCTCTTTTCATCATCCAAAAGTGTTAGTATTAGTAGTGGTAATACTTCTAATACTAATAAAAACAATAGTAATGAGAAGTCGGTAATGATAAGGAAATAGTCCACTCCAAAGGATAGGTCAGGTCAGCTTTGGGCAGTGATCATCCAAGAGATAAAACAGGACCTAAGTCAGACAGAACTCTCCCCTGACATTGTATATACTGGGTAGACTCTGACAGAAGAAGAGGAAGTTGGCCTTCCCTATCCATGGGCTCTGCACCTGCACTGAACATGTATGGATGCTCTTCTTGTCATTACTTCCAACTCAGGAGAGCAAAACAACTATTTAATTAGTACTGGGTGTTATGTAGAGTAATCTGGAGATGATTTCAGTGCATAGGAGGTTGTGCATAGGTTATATATAAATATACGTGCCATTTAATAGAAGAAACTTGAGAGTTTGTGGACTTTGGTATGAGGCCAACATGGTGTGGGATAGGGAGTGATTTACCCGGCCCAGGAGCACTGAGGACATGAGACTCTGCTATCTCA